CGAAGGGTGGGGTAGGCCGTAGGGCGGCGGGCGTTGAGGTGTGTGCGAGCAGGTCATGGCGCTGGTGGGTACCAGAGCAGCGAAGGCCGAAGAGTGAGGGTCGTCCACGGGCTCAGGGCGGGAGTTATGGGGCAGGGGGTACCGAACCCACGGATATACTGCCGTGGTGAGCTGCCCTGTGGGCTCGGCAGTGAAGAGGTGTTCCAGACATCCTCGTGCTGATGAAATGTCCACTTTGTATTTCTGTCTTAATTTTGTGTTCTTGCCCCCCCCCCAACAGCCCTCGATATGGAGTTCACTGGCTTACATTCAACTGTCCCGCAAAATAACCAGCCCAGGTAAAGCTGTTGGAGCGTGAGGGAGAGTCGCTGCTGTAGCTCTGGGAGAACAACCCCTGCGTTGCAAACCTCCTTGTGTCCCGCTCCCCTTCCCCCAATCCCGGTTTTGTTCGCAGCCTGTTCGATTCCCCTGCGGAGCGGTACCGGAAGGCCAGGCAGAGCGTCCAGCGTTTCACTGTTGCACAGCTCGGTGAGTGCTGGTCCGGCACAAAAAAACATCTCCTGAGGTCATGGTGGTTACCTGGCCTTTCGCCAGCTGGCCGGCCCCGCGGGTGGCTCTGGTCTTCAGTCCCTTCATTGCACAGACGCTTGTTTGCCTGTGCTAGAGTTCGTTCCTCCCCCGAAGTTTAATACTATCAACTTTTAAATATTTTAAATAACATAAAGTCAGGTGGGCCATATACTTTTTACTGGTCTAAACTTGTTCACATTGAAAGATTGCAGACACAAATACAGGGTTCTTAAAGCAGGCTGCAAGTAAGAAGTAGGGGACAGCAGCTCCTATTCAAGGCTGTGTCATGTGATATAGCGTAATGAGTAAGGGGACTGGCAGAGGAAAATGAATGGTGGCATTTCTGATATTCCTAAAATAATAAAAAACTCAACACAAGAAAGGGCTGGTGGTGGTGGTGATGGAGAAGGGCTATTGACAGTTAAGAACCAGTTAGAAGTCAAGAAACCAGCTCCAAAACTGTTTAAAATATTGTTCAAAGCCTTAGGTTATGTAAGGTATTAAATGGGTTTTTTAGGAGTTAATAGAAAAAGAAACCAGAACCTAAGTAGTAAAAAACATGTTTCAGTCCTCTGTGGTGCCTGGCTCCTTCCAAACGCTTCTGTAGCGTAGTTGGACCCACAGACCTGTGTATACATACTTGAAGATTTTTGTCACCAACTTGGCTCTTGTCACCCATTGCTCAATTCTATTTGTTATTTAATCACACGGCTCCTTTTCCCACTTAGCGCTAAAAACTCGTCCCTGGTCAGCTCTTGGGGAGGTGGGGAGTGGCCTGGCAGTTCCTGTTAAGATTTGCACTGTGGCATTAGTGGAAAACACATACTCCATCAGGGAATCCCCACATCCATTATCTAAATTTCACGGTATCTGTGGACATCCAGCTAAACATTGCCATTTCAACAGAGGTTTCTCTGTCTTGCAGGGCTGGCAATATTCTCAAATGAAAATTCAAACAAGTAAGTATAAAAAAGCAGTTTTATAATAAAGACAGCAGTTGAGGTCTTATGCAGAATTCTCTTGGGAGGAGTTATTTCTTTTAATTATCTTCTAGAGAGATTTTTCTTTTCATTGTAGGTATGTGGTACATTCGTACAACTTTTCTTTCCCTCAACACTGGGAGTTACGGATGTCGAATTCACCCTCTCCGCATCTAGCATTCAGTTCCTGTCTCATTATGGCTTTGACCATAGAAAGGTACGTAGTCTCTCTGCCAGGAATCTAGAACAGAGGAAGTCTCTGCAATTACAGCAGAAATTAGGATTAATAGCCCTAAATGCTACGTTTCTGGGGTAAAAAGCATCTTGCTAAAGTATGAACGCATCACGTGGTTCATTATCAACAGGGCGAGCAAGTGCTGTTTTTTCTGAACTGTTGTAGAGGTTTGCCAGCCTACGACAGATTTCCCCACCTCAAAAAAAAAAAGAAAACCTATCCCTGGTGAGCTGAGGAGTTACTAAACAGACCCCAGTGGGAGTCTTTACTAGCCATGAAGGTGGGCAAGTCTCGGTTTACCTGCATCTTACATACTGCCACGTTTCCCATAAAATTCAGACTGTCATCACATAAGAGCACTGTTCAGCAGTTTTAGACAGGAAGCATTGTGATATCTTGACGCCTGAAGTATCTCATTAAAGGAAAGGTAAAAGCAGAGCAAAAAAAAAAATTGATCACGGTTGACAAAAATCGTTTTCTTTCCTCCATACATAAACTTGTCTTCTTTTATGTAAGAATGCATCTCGGATTACCTACCATTTGTATTTTTGAAGAGGATATTCTAAGAATGAGGAGCATCAGCATATTCCAAGCATGCTGGTTTTGGACCTGGCTAACCTACTATTCTCTGCTTTCCTGCAAGAGAGTCCAGGGGAGAGTAACCAACCTGGCGTTTTTCCCCCTCCTCAGTTCCTTGAAGATGGAATCCCATACATGAATGAGGTACAGGAGAAGATCTTTAGCCAGCATCTCTTAGCAGGTAGCTCGGAAGTCAGCAGGTGAGTGCTATTCGGAGAGGTGGATCCTCAGTACTGACTGTATTGACAGCTCACCCTCACTCAGATCACGTTTTGTAGAAACGTGAAAGCCTGTTGGTCTGAATGCCTCGCTGGAACTGTTCCAGTGTGCTGTGGTCTGTCTGAAGAAAGATAGAGATCCCATGATGCAACCTGGAGAATAGAGTGAATGTTGGGAAGTGATGCTTTTGCATTACCATGGCAAGGCACAAGGCTCCATCTGTAAAGAGCTTTTTCTCACACTCTGCCTCTTTCCCCCCAATCCTGCTTTAGTGCCCTGAACAGGGATGTGCTGAAGAAGGCTATTGATGAAGTGACCTGTTGGATAGCTGCAGCAGAGGAAGAGGAGTCCATGATTCTGCAGGATCTGAGTGGTATGAGACAAGATGCCTCCCTTAGGCACCTGTGGGCTCTTGAGTGGCTTCATCATTTCTCCTGCACCTCTAGGGCTGCTATGGACCTTGGTGTCTGTTCTCTTAAACTGCTCTGTTGAGAGTGAAAGCATCTCTGTTCATCCTGCCTTTACAACTCTTTGCCCCTGGCTACACCTCAGTTCCTGCCAGGCATTCATCTCTGGGCTCTGCTTTTCTGCTCCATTGGGCTGGTGGGTCTTTCTGTAGTGGAAGTGGGTGTCTAGGTGCTTGGAGCATGCTTTGTGGTAACCAATTTCCATTTTGTGCTGCTTCAGGGCAGCAGCTGGAGAATTCATAGTTGCTCGGGATGAGGACAACTTTTGACTTGTTTTAAATCCTGGGTGATCTGGTTTTTGTTTTCTTCCCCTTGGAGAAGGGAAAGGCAGGTCTCCTTTCCGAGTTTGTTCCTTCTCATGTGGAGCAACAAGGAGCCCCATGGAGACACATATATATGCTGGTGGGGATAAATGGGCCATTTACCACCTGCGTTAGCTTTTGGGAGCACTATAGCAGAGCTGAGGAATTTCTGTGCTGTTTTGGAGGATCTGAGGGACAGGGAATTGTAGTAGAGAGTAGTTTGTATGTTTGCCCACAGAAACCATATCTTAATCCTTTAGGTCAGGGAATAAAATACAAAAAAGGTTAGGAAGGACAGAAAGTATTTAAGGCTTTGTCTGTTGATGCTTTTTTGCAGAGTGTGAAATACAGGGGGTGGGGACTGTGCCCTGTTAGGTATCTGCTGTGTCAGCTGTAGTAGATACAATACTGTTAATTTAATAAGGTCTGGCAATGGTGAGCCCTGGTGACAAGAAAGACGTTTATTTAAGCAAGTAATAAGACTGATTAAGGTGTCTTTTTGTATGCTGTTCAGAAGAGGACTGGGTCAGTTCCTTACCAGCTCTGGGGAAAAAATGCGTTGGTACCTCTCACCTGTGCTTGGCTTCTGGGTGTGTTGCTCTGAAACCTTCCAAAACCACATACAGTCTCTTTCATAGTAACCTTCCTCCCTCCGCTTTTCAATGAGTCTTTTTCTTTCCTCTGTGTCCTCACAAAAGCTTATTTGTCTGAAATTCTCACTGTGACTTTTTTTTTTGTTTGGGTTTGTGGGGTTTTTTTTTTGTTTGTTTGTTTTTTCCCCTTGTCATTGTGTATAGTAATGTACCAAGGTCATACATTCAGGAGTGTTTTCTGTACCCTGGGGGAGAAACATCTTGTCAGTCCTTCTGTCTAGAAAAATGTGTTTTCCTAAATTGCCTTATCTGCATCTCTGAAGTTTTTACTACTTTTTTTGTTTTGTTTCTGTCTTAGGCTATCAGATGTTTGAAGTTCAGCTTGTTTTGAGAAAGGCTCTCCAAAATGTTTGGACACAGCCTCTTGGAGACAAGAAGGTAAAATGGGAAACGTGGACCTTTTGAAAAGAGGGTTTCTATCTAGATGGATAGGATTGGCATTCTTGCAGGGACTCTGAAATGTTGCTTGTACTTTTAATGAAAGGATCCGGGAAGAGGAGAAGACAATGACAAAGAAATGTTCCGGGAAGTGTTGATTGTGGAATTCTAAGAAAAGGGATCCAGAAAACTGAGTAACTTTTGTTTCTGTTTGCCCTGTAGCCACAAAATACCTTCAGCTGGAAGTGCTTGTCCTTGGGGCACTTCTGGAGGTACCTTCTCTGCCTCTTCAGACTTTGTGGGATCTCTCCTTCGGTGCCTCCACAAGAATGTAGAGGTTTTAGTCTTTTTTTTTTTTTTTTTGTGTGGTTTTCCTTTGCTGACTTTTGCCATGTAGTTGCTTTGAAGACTTTTGCTCTGTCTGTTATATGGCTTGCTGTTTTGCTATTGGTATTTTATATTTGGTGCAATATTTTCTGAATTAAACCTATGGCTGTGCACTTACCAAAACATGAGTATGTATGAGTCAGTTGCTTAGAAGTAAATTACAGAAGTCTTTTTTTTTTTCTTTTTTGCATTAGTCCTGTTTCATCTGATAACCAGTGTCATCAGAGTGACAGATTTACCCAGCCTTCTCACCTGAAACATAGTCTTCGGGGACTCAGTTTGCGTGATTGCTGTTTGTTTCTGTTTTACGGTGCCATGAACTTACTACACTGGTGTCAAGTTACATTGAATTATGTTCATTTGCGCTCAAAAAAACCTGTGGTATGAACTATCCTCTTAACAAGAGAAGCATTAATATGACACCCTTATGGCAAGTCTCTTGTTTCTGGGGCACTGATCTTTATATGGAAGAGAAGTGAGGCAGTCCTGAGGCCCCAGGGGATGCACTATTTCTCCATCCTTCATAGCCTAGAAGCTGAACTTGTCCTCAGCATTACTGAACCCCAGTAAGCAATGTACATACAACTAGCACAGGAGGCTGATACACCCAATGACTGTTCTTTTCAGGTAATGGTGAAAAAAGTGAGTCCACAGCATCGCCAGCTTCTGGAGAACTCTCCTTATGACTACTGCCAGAAGGAGCTCATTCTCCTGTCTGCCCGAGGCTTCACCAACCTCTTCCAGACACTTGTTAAAGCCAAGAAGGTAAAATGCCTCATCCCTACCCTCATTTTTCATCTCTTTTTCATTTCCTACACCGGATGTAGAGGGATGATGAAAGATAAAGTAGTCATTTGTATTAAATTACTCAACTCATTCAGTGTGATTGTCCTGTTTAGTTCTCAGTAAAACTGAGATGAATTCTTAGATTGCAGCCACGGTTAGAAAAAACGAGCGTTAAACATTACATCTTATTGACCAGGTCCCACTCCCAAAGCATCTAAGAAATCTGAGCAGATTCTTGCCTTCAGCGTTAAACATTACATCTTATTGACCACTCCCAAAGCATCTAAGAAATCTGGGCAGATTCTTGCCTTTTGGGCAAGTTATGCTTTTCAGCATGTGACAGACCAGTTTATTGGACCGTTGGTCTGATTATGTGTGGAAATTCTTATGTTCTATATGCAGATTATTAGATTAGTTTCAGTTTGAGAAGACTATGGGTGATGTGCAGGCAAAGGCTGTCCCTCACCTTGTGAGTGAGCCTATAAATCTGATTGCTGGAAGATTCTGCCAGTGTTCAGCTGAACTGAGAATCCACCTGGCTCCTTAGGTCCACTCAAACTAGAATGCTGCTGAGACAAACACCCTCCTCAGAGAGTCCACAAGTCTGATTTCCTGAAAGCAGTAGTCCTCCTGTGAGTTCTGCAGCCTGAATGACTTTTGGGTGAGCGTGTGTGGATGCTGTCTGCCAGAGGAAAGGATCACAGCTGTTGAGCATGCCGAAAATTGGTTATGTCTGAGCTCTCTTCAAAAATATGCTCCAATGGGCCGTTATGTTTGTATTCTTCCCATAGCCCCTGGTGGGACACAACATGCTTATGGACCTTATGCATCTTCACGACAAGTTCTACAAGCCCCTTCCAGGTAACGCTGTAGATAGCTGCTGTCCCCAGGCTGCTGCCTTTGCAGTGGGGACAGAACAGTAAGCACAGTGGTCATTCGCCACCCCAGCCACCCACAGTGCTTAGCAAGCAGCAGTGCTAGGGGCCTCTTCTGAGCTCTAACTGCTGCAGCAGTGCATTGTTCCTCTGACTTCACCTCTCTTTTTTACTCATTTGAAATACCATTGCCTTTTCCTCAGTTTTACAATGTCTTTCTCCACATCTGTTTTGCTTTCAGAAAGCTACGAGGAGTTTAAAAGGAACATTCACAACCTGTTTCCTGTCCTCATAGACACCAAGACCGTAACAAAATCCATCTGGAAGGTGAGATGCATAGGTCTTTTTGTTTGGAGTTAAAGCTTGTCTTTCACCCAAAAGAGAGGATATCTTTCCTCAGTGCGCTGTAGTTACAGACCTGTGACCAGTTCTCAGTGTTGCCCTGAGACATTCTGATTTTTAGATCTCATTTATGAATCCGTACTACCAATAAATGAGCTTGCTTACCACGAGGTCTGTCTTGGTTGGTTTTCTAACATGTTCTTCTTTTATAGAAATGTCTGTTTCGTCATGTAACTAATCTTTTGGAGGTGTATGAGATTTTATGCAGGTAAGTGGTGGGCTGTAAAGCCTTCAGCAATCCCTTTTCTTTTCTTGGGAAAGATACTTCAAAGTCAGTCATTTCATATGTTCATATTTTCCCTCCTCCCAGATGTTGTTCAGCTGGTTTCTTGTCTTTCTAAATTTAAGAGCAAATGATCTGCTTGTTTTTCTTATAAAGTAATCGTGCAGTAAATTACTTGTTCTAAGTCACTTCTTGTATTGTACTACCACTGCTTCATTGGTTATACATTTGGCTTGCAGACAGCCTTACATACAACTTTAGAGTTGTATGTTGCTTATGTCGTGTTATGAAATGAGTGAGTTTCAGTTCTCGGTGAAAATGCACCCTAATTTCAAATGCCAGCTCCCAAAAAGAGCTGCACCGAGCCCAAAGCAGTAATGAAATACTATGGAGCACAAATGGAGCAAATTAGTAGATACCGTATCTAAAGAGCTTAGCCATGATGTTGTAGAAGAGTTCTCTTTTTTACACTACTTTTGTGGATGAATTGTTCTCATGTCAATTTTGCTAAGAAAAGGAGAATTTCGCCCCTTTCCTCTCACCCCTGCTCCCAGGAAAGAGATGCAGATTTAGTGCTTATAAAAACAGTACTGGGATTCTGGGTGGTTTTTTGTTTGTTTTAGCAATTTCAGACTGCAGATTCTCACTAGTTTTTATGTTTGTTTGCTCTTTCTTTTATTTCTGTCATTCCGTGGGTATCAGTTTATTAATCTGTGCTCCAGAGTTCCCCGTTCAAATAGAACCATCTAGTCAACGCCTTTCCTTGGAGTTTTCCATTGATTTTTAGTTCTGTTCAAATTTTCTGTATGCAATTGGAGCAGACTTGCTGCTTAGAGGGTTTGATTGGGGAGGAGACTGAGGAATTATTTAGGAGTTAGTCTTCAGGAAGAGAACTGGTAGATATTATTCAGTTAGGTATCTTAGCCTTTTCTTAGAATACTATCAGAGTTTGTTTTAAAGTCTTCAATAGCTTTTTCTGAAGTGAAGCCACAGGTCACTAAACAACAGAAACTTGTCTCTAGTGTAATGAGGAAAGACAATAATCTTACACATCCACTTGTCTTCAGCAGCAACCTCAATCCCAAAGATTCAGCGTGCCCAGTGATAACTCTTGCAAGTGACTGCTCAAGATACGGTATGTTCTTAAGCAAATCTTCAAAGTCAGAATGCTAAAAAGGGTTTCGTTTTACTCTGTGGATGTCCACATGCAAAGCATGAGCGAATGCTGGTGAGTCTGCTGAATTTGCACCAAGCTGCCAATACACATTTTTGTCCAGACCCAAAGCCTGGGCTCCCAAAACGTCATGTGTTTTGCATGTCCCTGATAGCTGCTGAGGGTAATGCAGGGCGGGTTTACGTCATGCTGCTAGCAGAAATGGCATTTTCAGTAGGCTGGGCTGAACTGAGCCTGACTTAGGGCTATGAAGAGTCGGTAACCCCTGGAAGGGGCAAGGGGAGGTGGGAAACTGGTCCAAGAATGGAACATAGTGGCAGCTAATGGCAGGGAGGTCCCAAAAAGTAGCAGGCGTTCAGTGGCTTATGCAGGGTTAGTGGTGCTGTATGTGCAGGAGGCTGTGTTCAGTACATGGTGTGATACTGGCTGCAAGGCAGACGTTTCTTGGCTTCTCCTGACAGCGTGGTGTCCTGCAGCGAAGGGCCTCTTGTGTTTTGAAATGGTTCCCATATCATCAATAACGTATACAACACAATTTGGTTTAGATCGTCATGAAAGTTAAATTTTTTTCATGTGCATCTCTCTAGGCTTTTCAGCCATTCGTGTAACTGCTGTCTTTTTGTTGGTATTATTTTAAAATGCATGGTAGAAGAATAGACTTTCTATGGGGTGTAAAGATTTCAGGATGAGGAAGGAATCAGAGCTGGGGGGGGGTGTGGAACTCCAAAACAGAACAGTGGATCTTACAAATGTTAGGATTATGCAGTGGAGCAGTGTTCACAGTGTGCTAAAGATGTTAACTCCTTTTTGCTTTTGTTGGACACTCACAGCTGTGAAGAAATCTCCTCACGAGGCAGGCTATGATGCATTTCTCTGTGGTTCAGGTAAAATGCTTCTTAAACGCTTCAGAGTTTGTGTTGGGACTTGGGAATTCCTTTCCCGATGCTAAGAAATATTTGTTTATGTATGGACTGTTGCTCTTAGTAACTTAGCTGCACTTTGGTGAATTTTTGCTTTCCGTTTGTTTAGCTGTTTCTTTAGCTTTGTTCAGTTGTTTCTTTAGCTTTGTTCTAATGCCACCTCGTTATTCCTCCTTCTAGTTCTTCTGAAGTCAGCTCATTTGCTACTGTGCAGATCCACAGAGTGAGTGACGTTTAAATGTTTTGTGAAAATTGCATTACATGGATGAGTCCTACAGAAAACAGTTGTCAGTTTGCTCTGGCTGACGTTTTGCAGGCTGGCCTTCCTTTTGGATAAGAGAAAGTGTTATTGGAAATGTCACAGTGCTAATTAGATTTTTATTTTATAAATCTGAAAGTAGTAGCTTTATGTCAAAGCTGACATTTAAAAAATGAAATCAGGGGCCAAGCAATGGCTCAGAGGTTGGGAAATGACATTATGACTCCTTTATCCTAGAACAGGCTCTCTCAAGTTCAGTTCACTTGGGTCAGGGTCAAATCATTTTCCATTAGTTTCCATTTTTGAAATCTATGTGATTCAGTGCCTTCTGCTAAGTTTGTAAGAGGCAACTGTTCAAATCCCTTCCCTTTGCTTGCAGCTTTTTGACTTCTGTAGGAGATACCGAGATCCAAAATACCTATTTTGTCACTAGTTAAAGAGCTTCTTCAGGAGCTCTGTGCTCCAGAGGCACTGTGCAGCAGTGCAGCGCTGGAGAAACAAAACTTTGTTCCATTTTGTTTTCTGATGTAGTGATGCAGTGGAGGCTGATCCTTCTTTCTCTCAGTATCTCACCGTGTTAGCCGAGTATCTGAACAAAGTGAATTTCATCCGAGGTGGTGTTTCAAGCATTGTGCGTATGAATTGCAGGTCTGTGACCAGTTTGTGGGGTGCGTAGGTCAGTAGCCCAGTTGATGGCTTCAGTAGAGGAGAAAAATCCACCAGTGGCTGGGCCCACCACGGCAGAAGTTGTCATCACACAAATGACACAATTGACCTTTCAAAATGGCAAACGAGTTGAATTTCTGCTTTGTGAAATGTATTTATATTGTCATCCTGTAGGATGGCATTAGTCAGTTTATGTTGCTGTTTCTCTGGTGGTTTCTCCGTGGTAATCGTGACAGTTTGCTTTTATGACTCATGTTTAGAAGAATCTTGGGACAAAAGAAAAATAATTTTACGCCAACAGCTGTGTTGTACAAGCTGTCTTATTTATGTGTCACGTTTTGAATATTTTCTGATTATATTAGTAGTGTTTCTATATTATTTCCAAACTCCAAATGTCTCAGTGTTGTACATTTTCCAGAATTTTTCTGGGGAAGACGTTTCCTGCAAACATCCCCCTGCCTTGGTTGTCCATGTCCGAGGCTGGCCAGGGCTGAATGAAAGGCAGATTTACAAAGAGTTTAAAGCTCTTTGTCGCTTTGACGTCAGACAGCTTTCAAAGAACCAGTTCCTTCTGCTCTCCAACAAATTTAAGCAGTAAGTGACTGGAAAGTCTTAATTTCTTGTCCCTTGATCCTCTTTGATCCGAGTCTCCATCCCACCTTCCCTCTGCTGTGACAACTTTTAGATAAAGAGATTCCTGTCCTGAGCTGTGGGGTGCTGTAAGCAACCTGCAAGCCACGGTTGATGACATCTACTTTCATTCCAGTGTCAGGCTGGTTCTGCGAGATTATAAGCATCACCCTCATCTGCGGGTTTCCGTCTATGGCCGCTGGAGGCACTCTCCGCACGTCAGCTGCCTGCTGCAGTGAGTTCCCGAAATCACAGGGACAGGGAAGGGGAAAAGCATTCGTGCCTCTCGGGGTGCCTGGCCCCGTCGCAGCAGCAGTCTGCCCCTCTTTTGCAATGTTCTTCTGCCAGCCCTTCAGGAGAACAAGGGGTGCAGAAGCAGGTTCGCTTGCTGACTGCTGGGTGGCAACTTGTAAGCTTTCAGCCCTGGGCAACTGGACTTTAATTTTGATTAACTGAGTAATGTTACTCCATGGATAGCACGAAGCCACGCATGTGCTGTCATAACAGAAGGAGGGTGATCTTAATGAGCGGTAGTGCTAGCTCTTAATAAGCTTGAGGAGAGAGAGGCAGTGTCTCCCAGGTGTGGGATGGATGTGTGTTTATTCTACAGCATAGCCGAAAGCTCGGTAGTAGGAGAGAATTCCAGGTTCAAAGTGCACCCCTCTCATGAGGCTGTGACAGAGATGCTTGTGAAGGATGAATTTCTGGCCTGACACAGTTTGGAAAAGAATCGCAGTTCATAAGAGCAAAATTAAGCCCTAAATATAAGTAGCCTAACAGCATTTTATTATTCTTGCCTTTTAGAGTCTCTGGTATTGTGGCACTATGGTCTCTCTTGGCCTTTGTACTCGGAGGAGCTCCTTGCTGTTCATTGTAAAGGACTGCCTTACAGATGAGACATGAGGAATGCAGATCTTATTTTTTTTTGTGTTTGTCTATGCTTTGTTTTGTTTCATTTCATTCAATAAACTATGAGAGACAAAAAAAGCTATGAATAGTGTTTTTAATTGCTGCTCTGGAACTGTGTTTTTAAGGAGGATGTGTTGGTTTCCAGTTTGTGGTATTTTGTAATCTTTTCAAAGCATAGTCCCCTCCTGAAGAGGGAGAGATGGTTCTTTGGATGCCTAATGTACTTTGATCCTCTGGTGGTTCTTAACAGCTATTCATAACGCCAGTTTGTTCCCAGTGCTTGTGCTGCTGCATAAAACACATTTCTGATGAAGTTTGGGAAGTTATGAAATGGAAGAGGCTATTTTTAGCTTGAGTTGTAAAGCAGGGGAAATGTCACTGTTTACCAAATGAAAATGGACAGAGTTGATGGAGCAACATGAAACTTTGGGGAACAGTTAATTTTCTAGTAAATAATTTGCAGTGCTGCCAGTGTCGTGCAGTGGTAGTTCCAGTGGCAGTGGAGCTGAGGATAGACACAAATAAGGGGAATTTACCAGTTTCCGATTTGTAGAATATACACAGGTTAGGTAAGTTGGCACGCATTTCTGTTTGCTTCTACTGCACAGCATGTGAGTGGTCCTTTATCCCAAAATATCATGAGATGTTGACCAGTTTCTCTGATACAGTTGGAGTATTTGCCAGTCCATGGACTGCAGTATTGAGAAACTTTTATTTTGAATTTCCTTCTCTTCTTAAAACCAACCTGCTGATCCATGATTTCCAAATAATGGTCCCTAGATTTCATCAGTGAGACCTAATTGGATGGTCATCTAATACGTAAAATCTGCCTTTAATTGGTTCTAAAATGGGAATTGCTGCAGAGGGCTTTAAAGCAGCAGCAGGGTGTTGCGGTGTGCCTGAGGATCATGTGCTCTCTGCTGCTAACGGTTTGCTGCTTTGCTGCTCTTGAGGAGAAAAGGGCAGTGTATCAAGATGTGGTTCTTGAGTTCTGCACAGGCTGTGGTTTACAGCTCTTGCTTCATAAGCTAGTTCCTAGTGAAGCAAGTAACTGACTTCTTGATTACTTCCCCCCCCCCCCCGGTAACCCCTTCAGTGATGGGGTTCTTTGTCGTAGTGTTCCTTTAAGTACCAGTGTAAATATCTCCCTGTTTATTTTGTAATGTTTTTTGTCTTTTAGCATTGTGAGAGACCCTCATTGTGTCAAGGAGTGCACAGGCTTTGTGTGTTGTGTAGATTTTGGAAAATTTTCACTGGATGTTACATGCAGTAGCATGCATTTTCTCATAAGAACGCTCTTGTTGGCTTATGATCTGGGAAACACAATACCCTTGTCTTTCTCTTAGCTACTTAAATGTGGGGAGATGCAGCCTCACTTGCATCTAGTCTACAATCTGGGGATCATGAAGATATAGATGCTGTTACCTTTGAAAAGCGCAGCAGTTTCTAAGGGAGCATGCACTTTGAGGAACGAAGAAATTGTCTGTTCTGCCTTTGAATTTTGCTCCCTTCCTTCCATTTTTCTTCTCCAAGTAGCTTCTGCCTTTGAATTTTGCTCCCTTCCTCCCATTTTTCTTCTCTAAGTGGCACATAGACAAATAATGAATTAGTTCCCTGCAGTACTGTTCTCTGTCTTGGCTCATCCTCTAGAGAAACACGCTTCCCTGTGGAAGAGAGCAGAGATTCTTTCACTCCTTTTTGAGAAATAGCCCATGGGTCTGACCATGCCTTCTCCCTTTCCAGGGCACAGGCGTACCTCATGTAGCAACGTAGCGTAGTGAATCGAGAGACTTGGCTTTCCTGCATTAGAGCTGGGAGAACTTAAAGTAACAATTGCTGTCAATCCACTAGATATTCCAGATAAATCATTTAAGTTTACACACAAAGTAAATATACAAAGAAGAAAGGAGAGCGGGTTGAGTATATTCTGATCTCCCTCCTAGGGGAGAATTTACAGAACAAGTTGGCTGTCTGTAATAACCTAGGGTCACTCGCTGCTCAGAGCCTTTTAAAGACATCAATCGGATGTACTAGCAGTCAATTCCCATGAAATGGGTTAGCTGGGGGCTAGTCTAACAAATCAGAGCAGTGACTTTTAGCTGTGGGAACAGATTTACAAGTTTTTGAGCGGCTGTAGATCAAGACAAAATCTCCCTGAACACGCCAATCTGGCCATTCCGACCTCAGCTGTTGCTTTTGCTCCAGACTAGGGAATTGTTATTCACTGAAGTTGGAAGTTCAAGTTATGCCTGTACCTGCGTGTCTTCTGCAAGGAGCGGGGGGTACTTTTGATTCTTGCGAGGCCAATTCAAGGTGGTGCAACCTGCCTCGTAACTGGCGCTGAAGAGGTGCTCATCCAAGTTGCTGAGTGGCTCTGAGGGCTGGCAGCTCAGAAAATCAAGCCTGCCTCCCCAAGACAGCGATAAAACCACAGCAAAGTCCTTGGCAGCAGTTGTAGCACACCTGCTTCTCAGCACTATGAAAAACTTGTACTCTAGCTGTAAGGCTTGAAAGGGTAATTCCAACCCTCAGTGAAACAAGATGTTAGAATTTAAGTTGTGAAGGTGCACATAAAAAATATAACCCTGCAAATGGAGCACTGGAGATGAGAATATATCTATTTCCGAGAACTATTTGGTTTTTGATACACTGACTTTTTTTTTTACACATGCTTAAGATTAAATACGTGGTTTTTGAGATAAGATCTCTACTCTTGTAGGAAGCCTCTCAGAGCACCTCCTGTTGCTGAACACACAGAGTGGAAGTCTTGCAATGGAGGAGCTCAGCATTGTCTCAGACGTAAAAAAACCCAACGCCTTCACACCAGACTGTTGTTGAGAAATTTTATTTTATCATTAATTTTGGAAAAAAAAACCCTGACACACAAAATACTTTAATCATGTAAAAAAGTCTATGGATCCATAAATGCAAAAGGCAAAACTATCTCTAAATATTCCTTAAAACAACGTTTGTACTGCTTGTGGCTTCAGTGGTGATACTTCAGGTACACACCGGCATTGGAGGAGAGCAAGATTTACCTCTCTTAAAAGTCAAGGTATTCTTTTTATATAGAAGAACATTTTATACACTCCTATGTTTTTTAATGGTGTGAATTAACAATTCTTCCTAATATTATGCATGCATTGGGATGTCTTGGAATGGCGAGGTTGCAGGTGTCTGGCTGGATGAATCGCGTGAAACAGGGAGGGAGGCACGCCGCCTCCAAGCCCTGCCTGTGTCCCAGAGGCACGTGGAGGTGATGGGGCAGAGAGGGCCGAGGGCGGCTGCGGGGCATGGGCTGGGGCAGGCAGAAACTGGGGGCCCAGCAGGGGTGGAGGCTGGAAGGAGAACGCATGCAGGCAGAGGTGGTGGAAAGAAGGATTTTCTTCCTAAGGTCCCTGAGGGGCTGTGAGTTTGTTGCAAGGCCAGAGGCCATGAAAAGTGGAGAAGAGTCGTTCTGCTAGGATGGGGGAGGGGGCAGGGACGAGGGAGAGTTAATGCCCAGCGTCTCACCCAGCTCATCTACTCTTTCTCTTGCTGCAGAAACTACCTTGTTCAAGTTTGTGGGTTTAAAGAGTTTTAACAAAACCAGTACTTCAGGTACTGTATGAGCACCTTCAGGTTTTTGGGGCAGTCCCAGCTCTGAGGAGTACCCGGGCCCGGATTGCTTGCTTTTAAGCATGGGCACTGTGTGCAGAAGCGCTCCTGCCTGACATTCAGGCGCGTGCCCTGCAGCTCGAGCAGGGGAACGAGAGACCTGGATCCTCGGCGTGGGGGGATTTAAAGGTGCCTTTCCCATCAGCAGCCTAACAAACAGGCGAGCGGTCAAATCCTCTTGCCACTTCTCCCCAGCCAGGTGAGCATACAGAGATGAACAGACAGATGTTTCACCAAAGGCAAGATGGACATGGGGCTCCTGTACCCCTTCCTCCCTGTGTAGGGCAGCCAAGGGCCCCCTCCAGACACAGGAGTGATTGACACTGGTTCTCCTGTTTCTGGAGCAAGCGTGCTAACCCATAGACCTATAAAAGACCCTCTCCAGCCAGTTTTTAAAAGAAAATAGCAACAGCAACTCCTGAAGAACATAAATGCCAGTGCTCTAAGTTAGGCTTGCTGTTAAAACACCTATGAGATGGAAACCTGCAAGAGGTAATGGTTACTGCACAGGAGAAGCACGTAGTGTCCAAGAAACGCATCCAGATTAAAAAAAAAAAAAAAAAAAAAACCAAAAAAACCCAAAAAACCCCAGCTATTTAAAACATGAAAACAGGTTATTCAGCACCACCCAGGCACAAACAAATTGAGGAAATCCTGAAGTAATTCTAAGTCTGGACCTGGTCCCACCCACTGACACCCCTGGAGTTCACCTGGGTTTCTAAGCAGTGAAAGCAGGGGAAGAATAATTGGCAATGCTCATTCTGTATTTTGATGTAATACAAACGATTTTATTTGCCCCATAAAACTTGGCACTAGCAATTGGACAGAGCTGTGGCATGTTCTGAGCTTGCTCTGAAAGATGCTGCTAGAAATTTCTGCTTGGCCTCCAGCTTTTGGTTACCAAAGGTCACGCTGTCTGCAATTTCTCATTGTTTAACAAGCTCCTTGCTTACAAGTGCAGCCAGCATAACCAAAACAGGCAGTCGTTCACTCACCCGCTGGAACTCATCTGTCCCGTGCGTGAAACACGTACAACGGACTTTGCCATTCCTGCATAAATCTGAGGATTTGCAAACCCACAAGCTCCCACAGCTGCCTGTAGTGCTCAAAACTTGCCCCCTCCCCTGGGATGCGGGACTGAAGCAGTTTGATGTAATTGTTCCATAGGGCTTCTGGGTCATGGGAACCGATGCCACAGGAGACATGTTGGCCTCCTGGGCCTCCCCTGTGGTCCTGCGGCCTCCAGCAGCTGGGCAGCCTCCAGGGACAGGCAGGGGCTGGCTGCTCAGCCAGGGGTGTCTGGGGGCTGTC